GGTTTTGTTTGTATGGGATTTTTAGTGGTGTGTCATCACTTTCTAAAAGAAAAATATATATATTTCAGGAGTAGTGTCACTGGGATCTGTCTGTTGTGATGGAATATCTGCTTTTCAGCTCCAGTAAAGATGACTGAACTGAGTAAAATGATCAGAGTACATGCTTAGTAGAAGAAATTTGTTATTATTAAGCAGTACATATCACATACTTTCTTTTTGACCTTGGGGAAGTTACAGATGCTTTAATTCACTTTGTGTAAAAGTTGATGTACTTGTTAGATGTATCTCTTTTTGGTATTGCTTACTTGAACTATAATTTAGGTCAAGAGTTCTTTTTTGTGTATGGAGAGCTCTTAGTACTGTATATCTTAATGTCACTTTGGCACTTCTCACTATTATTGTAATACACACATTAAAAATAATCAAGGATCTTTCATATTATTTAGACCAGCTTGAAGCTGCTTATCCTATGTGATTCCCTACTATTCACATTATTTAGGAACTCTCTGTCATTATGACAAGTATATATACATATATAAATATGTGCTTGTGAAGAAAAAGCTGGGGAAGAGATATATATGTCTGACTGTTAAAATTTTGCCACTTACAAATATAGAGTTTTTTTCAATTCTAAATTAGTATGAAGGTTGTAGAGAAATGCAGTGTAGAATTTGAGAACTGAAAGTTAAGAGTCGTTCAGAATCTATGTGCCCATGATAAAGAGGACGGGTTAAAGGTGTTTCATGCTCTGCATGGGAAATATCCTCTTCTCCAGTGCTTTGGAGTACAAGATCCAAAGCAGAAAATAAGTTCATCATTCTCTCTTCTCCAATTGCACTGAAGTAACTATTTACTGAGATGAATCCTAAAATATTTGGTGTCATCTCGACTTTTTAATGACAAATGCTTAGATCAAAGTAGCAAGTGAGGTGGGGCAGTGATTAATGGCTTGAACAAAAATAGATTTTACTGTGCATTTATAAATGGAGTGTCATGCCTTGGATATTTGTTAGGACTTTGAAGGCTGCATACCTGTAGAACCTGCTGCAGTCCTTGAGGCTGGAGAAAGATTTAAGAATTTGTCTGTGAAGATTGCTGCTCAGGGGGAGAATTAAACTGACATTAAGTTCTTATGGCTGCCCCATTCCTCATTGTGACAAAGGGGCATGTGTTACACAACATGACATCTGATTGCTACGTATGGAAATACGTCTATGCTTCATAAAATGGTGAATATATTTGTCATCCCACCAGTGTCCTGGGAGGAGCTTTTGAAGTTAAAATGTCATTTTTGAGGATGTGCTGTAGGTCTTTTTCTAAATGCCATAAACTGGAACAGGAATACTATTTTATTATTTCATCTAGCATGCAAGATATTGCTAAGTTTAATGGGTGTATAGGCACCCATGAATATATGTGTGTAAGTTTGATGCATCTGTGTGAAGTAGATATTCAAACACAGTTTGCCTCACGTAAGTAAGACTACAAGATACCAGCACAAGCTGATAGGTTTTAATAGTCCCTTCGTATGTATTTCAAGGATATGTTTGCCATGAGACATCTGCCTATGCATAATCTGGGGCAGAGTTAAATACTGCTTTTCTGAATTGTCCTGGAGCCAAACTTAGTGAGGGCTGGGTGACAGAAAAAGGAAAAGCTGTAGTACATGTATGACTTGTGTGCAGATGTGTTGCTGGAGGTTAAGATTTAAGAGTTCAGGGAAATACATAACTGAACTCCTTTGATTCAATGCTTTTCTATTCTGAGATATTTCTGGTAGTTCATTGTGTCTTGTGAAATTTATCTACTGCAAAAGGGATTTACCTGTTACTCACTGGACATGTGCTTGACCATGTCTTTTGCCTGTTCTGTTGCGCCTGTACAGTAGGATCAGGTTCTTCTACCTCACCTCCAATTTCTGTTTTCCTCCTTCAAACTGGGATGATTCTTGGGGATTGTATCAAGTGTGGTGTATTAAAATACTACTCAAGCATAGCCAGCAGATTTCCCAGCATGTTTGGCAGGGCATCAGTGTTCTCCTGACAAAGTTACTTCACCTTTGCTTTGAGCCCTGCTTTGAATTTTTGAAGCTAAGTATGGGTGATTTGGCATTATCTATGCTTAATAAAATTTGGATTACTGATCCTTTATTCCAAGAAGTAGGGAGGATAGTTGTTTTTTTTTGTCGACTAAAGGTCCTTTCTTTTACATACTGGTCATTGGTTTAAGTCAATATCTCTGGAGGGTGCTTCTAGTTCATTGGTGTGATATTCCACATATTATAAATTCATTGAAATGTTCATGAAATTCATTCTATCTGAGATCATAACAGCAGCATTTTTCTGCTGAAAGCATGTGTGAAGATATTTGCTGAACAAAGTTGAAAGAATCATGATGGGTATTAAAATAACAATAGGGTCAAATCTCAGCAATTAAGTTTTATCTTTTTCTTAACTTTTATCTTATTACCAGGTATTGCCCACTTTTTTTCTAGACTGCCCTTTAGTGAAAATTTGCTGTAGCAATTGTGTGTGTGACACAGTGCACTGAAGAGAAAACCTTGAGAGCAATAACAGCAACCCTAAAGAGCTGCTTGTGCATGAAAAGCAGAGAACAAAACGTTAAGGATCCAAGCATGGCTATCAGAGAAGCCTTTCATGAATTTGACAGTAGCATGCTATTGCTGTTTGGTACTAAGCTTTGCAGAAGTCCAAGCTGCTAAGTTTTGGGCTTCTTGGAAAGATGCTTTTCTCAGTGCTCCATCTGAAAATACAGGACATCTACATAGACTGTCCATTTCTCTTGTGTCACATCCTGACAATACAATTCTCCAAGTTTCTCATCAGCCAAGATACAAGCATGTTGTATTCCAGTCTGCTAAGGAGAGTTGCCTGTGTCAAAGCAACATGAGGGAAGAGCATGGACATAGAATCTAAATGGAAACAGCATGTTTTGTGTAGATGTTTTTGGATTCTGGGTGACTTGTTTGTTATTAAAACTTGTTTTCTGAGATAGTAAGTAACCTATTCAAAGTGCTTAAAATGTTGCTTCTCCAGCTTTCACATAAAAGAGAGAAAATAGAGAGGGGAAAAGTTTGAAGTATGAACTGTGGGTAAAAAAAATAAAAAGCCACCACCTGAGCATCTTGGCAGTTGAGCTGTTGAGTGTCAGCTTTCCTTTCTTTGGCTATAGGAGCTGCTTGTGACTGACACCTGAGAGCATTTGCCCTCAGATAACCTCCTCAAGAGGCCTTTCCTTTCTTGTAGCTCTGTGATTCTAATGTGCATTCTTTTGTGCTTTCTCTCTCTTCCCCTTGCTTAGATGTGTGGTGTGGTGTGGGTGCGACACTTGCAGTGAACATTGTACCCCTGTGTTCTGGAAGGTGATCACATTATAGCTTTTTGGAAACAAAAATGCATTAATTTTTTTTGTTTAATTTACTATTGTTCCTTGCCTGTTTTGCTTTCATCTTGATGTTTTTGCTGTCTTTTAATCTCTCCTGGTATAATAACATTTGCCCTTTCATTATGTTCTTCTCCAACATATTATATTGACTTTAAACCTTCCCCCCACACCTTTCTCTTCTGTATTCCACTTTCTCCTTTTTCTCTTCCAGCCACCTCTCCTCAACCTTTTGACTTCTGCATCTATAATGCAGTAGCTGCATGACTGCCTCAGACTGCTGCTCCAAAAGGAATTGCTGTCATCCTGCTTTCCTGCTCACCCATGGCACCTCTGCTGTGCTTGCAGAAGTGCATTGCATGCCCTCAACACCCAGAGTCCATCATGCTTGTACTGTGGGGAGGCTTTCTGTGCTGTTATGGATCTCTGAGGAGACTTTCTCAAAGTCAGGGCATCTCCAAAATCTTGGGACAGATCGAGTAGATGGGAATAAGCATTGTTTAAAGGACAGGGAGGGAAAACTCTAGTTAAAACTGTGACAATTTGTGGTTGGAGATCCCACTTTAGATATGAGCTAGGGGGCAGGCTGAGACATTAAATCTGAGATTACTGTGTCCTAAGACCTTTGTCTGAAACCAAGGTCTGGTCTTCTGTGTGACAAGGTGTTCTATGCTGTTAGGAGGGAAACAGAAAGGAGCTGTGACATATTAAACTAGTGCATACTAATGGTTTTAGCAAGGAACTATCAAACCCTGGCAAAAAAAGAGACCCTGCAGTCATTGAGCAAGTGGAGGGAGTGGGGGAGCTGTGCCTCCAGTCTGGGGGAGTTACAGTCCCTGCTGTTTTGTCTTTCTATAGTGCATAAACCTACCACGTGCTTATGGAATGTGTAAGGCTCTTCTGCAGTTAACAGTGAAATTGAAAAAAATAAAAATCCTTCAGTCATCATAGAAAATGCAATTATTAATATTATTTTGAGAGAACAGAGTATTTATTGAGAATACTGGTCATCTTGTGAAGTTGTCGGAGTCTGTATAAAACCACATAAAATTTCACAGGAATTTGGTGTTGCCAATCTGAAGTGTGCAATGAGAATGAGTCACATCTTCCCAGATTTGCTTAAAAATAACAGAGGTTTATTTTTAATTTGGTTTGGGTTTTATTTGCCTTTTTATGTCAAAGCTGATTCATGTTTTCCACTGCTAGCAATACCCACTATATTTTTCTTCTTTTTTTTCTCTTTTTTTAAGAAGGGGACTTTTTAAACAAGAGTACCAAATATTTCAGGACATGTAACAAGATTATGTAATTGCTCATGTTAGCAGGTAATTATCTAAGTAATCCCCCTTTAGTGGAAGGGAGGAGTAGGAGGTAGTAAAATAAAATAAGATTAAGCTAAATTTTCATATGTGCCGTTTTGAGTAACTAACAGTCACATACTAGAGAAGATTGTTGTCACTGAAATAATATGCTCTATTCAGGACTGGGTACAAATTTAATTTTGTCACAGAAATTCTGTTTAGTGTTTCTAGAGGCGTGGAAATTTCTTCCAATATGTTTATTTTTAAATCCATCTTTTGCCTCTTTTCTCATTCCTTCACTTTTGTGAAAAACAAATGAGAAGATTAAGTAAAACTTTATATATTTTACACAAAGCACTAAAGTGGAAGGATTATATACAAAATTTCTTCTGTAATCTTTATTTCTCTCTAAGGAATTATCTGACGTAACTGCTAACTGCATCAGCTAAAAGTCTATTCCTGATGATCTTGGATGTCTTCTCTCGCTCTCTTTTATTTTTTTTAAATTTTGTTTTCAATAGAACTCTTTCTATCCAGTATCCTCATTAAGATGTGCTTGAAAAAATTCCTTTGAAGAGTCAGAAGTTTTGTGCAGGCCCCAGGTGAGGTGTACTGACACAGCACATCCCAAAGATAGGTGCTGCAGATTAGAGAAGTCCTAGCTTTGTGATTATGTGCCTTTTGCCTCTATAATATGAAGAAGGATATTTGTCCTCTTCATTGCTAAGTTTAATCGTGGGCACATAGTCTGTAATCAGTTTTACTGGACACTAGGTAATTGCCATGGTAGCAGCAGCATTCTGAATGGTTTTTTTGCTTGTCCAATTTGGTCTCATAGGTGACTTTTGAACTAAATAAAAAGTCCCAAACCAGCTCCCTGTTTGTAGTTCTTTAAAAAAAGAAATCTTTTGCATTGGAGAAGACAAATTCAGCTCTAATGAAATTAAGCATAATGGAAAGATGGGACATTTACTTTTGCAAAACTTGCCTACCATATAGATTTTCCATGACGCAATGTATTAGTTCTGTAAGGAGTTTTCTTCTTGCTGAAAGATAGGCAACTACTTTAAGACCAGTTGCAGGACAGATATACTAAAGTATACTAACTAAAAATTTCACAGAAGTGACTACTTTCTGGTTTTTTATGGGTTTGTTACCTCGAATTGAGGTGGCACCAGCTGCCGCCTGTCTGCATCACTTGTGCATAGCCCGCATATCATTCACCAATGGGAGTGAAGTAAAGTGTCCCTGCAGCTTTGTGGAGCAAGACATATTTCTCAGCAGCACAAGCTCAAACCCTGCTCGAGGCTTGCACCAAGTCAAACAGGAGCTTGTGAGAACATTTCTTTTGCTAGGTCTATTGTGCAGAACTTTCTATTCTGCTGAACTAACTGTAGAAGAGAAACATGCTTCTGGGTAAGTAATTCCATGTGGAGGCTGAAATCTGTCTTTCAAGCAGCTGCATAATAGAGTGCTGTATGCTTGCTCCAGCTGTATGGAAGGAGAAATGTTTAGCTGATTTATTTTTAATAGCAATCCATTAGTGAAAGCTGTACTCATTTGCTGCAGTTTAGGAGCAGAGCAGTCAAGTTTGGCAATCTTAGCACTCTGGGTGACTGTGATCTATTTTTTTAGATACTTTTTATCTTTAAGTAAACTGCGCCAAAGTAATACAAATGCCAAAATCAGCATTTGAACTTTTTTTTCCCCATGTTTAGATGGTAATCGTGACATTTTCTGAAGGAAGATTCTAAATGAAAATTTTTGTTAGTAAGTCCATTGGAAGAATGTATTTCTTAAATATGGAAAAAAAATGTTTCTTATTTGTGGGTCTACTGATGGTTCACTGTAAAAAATTAATGCTTAATTATTGCATGTCTCTAATTCTCTTATCATTATGCTGCTAAAATCTGTTGACTAATATTATTTATATAATAGTTTTAATAAGCACAAATAGTAGTAGCATTTGAAAGAGGGAATGCCCTCATGTGTATTTTAAAGAAAAACTTGAAATTATTAAGTTTCTGAATTGTTAATGTGTTGCAAATTATACAGCATTGCTTAACTGCAGTGTTAAAATGTGCATGATTCATTCAAAAAGTTCCTCTTAGAGTGTTTTGTTAGGTCAAAAACATAAATGGTCTCTTCTGTCCTCCAAGTCCTGTTTATAGTTAGATGATGAGCTTGCAGAAAACACCTTTAATTTTTTTTCTTTTTTTTTTTATACAAGGCAACCTTGACTGGAGGAATGTCATTGGTGGGTTTTTCCGCTATTGAAATAAATAGTAATAGAATGCTCATTTTCTGTGATTTGAATGTTTAAATTGCTTTTGTTCTGTGTAAGTATGATAATCTTTGGTATGTAGTAAATTGCAAAATTACGTCTTATAGGATTCCATTGCTTTTAAAACTGCTATGTAATATTTCTCTTATTTTTTTACCTAAACTGATGTGTGATTATTGACCATAATTTTTTGCTCCTGTCACTTTATTTAACTTTCTAAAGACAAGAAAATGGCCTGAAGAGGTGCTTTTGGCAGGCAGGATTTAAGATTAGTGTAGAATTTAGCTTAGTCTGGTTGAGTTGGTGAGATTTTAGCAAATTAGTTTGCGTGTTTGTATGTGAATCAGGACTGTTCATATAGTTACTTCATAAGCATTTGTCCCTTGTCCCTTTTCTCTCCATATATGTGTCTGTGACATTGTTTCTATGTTTTCTTTGCTGATCACAGTTTTATACCTTGGGTGCTGGATTCTTTGCTGCAGGGAATTGCTTTTGGGTTTTTCTAGGCCTTTGCTTCTCTGTCATTTTGTATGTTCAGAAACAGTCACAATAGTAATTTCCTGTGTTGCACAGAAATACACGTTGCAGCAGATTTAACAGAGAAGCCTGAGAGAAATCTGGGATTTGGTTGTTCCTGTTGTTCATTTACTTTATTTCAGCAATCTCTATTTAGAAATGTGCTAATTCTGTCTGAAATTGAAGCAATGCACATCTTCCATTCAGCCTCAAGATGCTTTGTTAAACATCACTAGGCACAGTTTCCCTGTGCTACCATTATCATGGTAATGTCTAGATTCACATTTATCTTTGGCTTTCCAGCATGGCTTATCTGAGAGCCCACCCTGCAGTGCAGACAGCCCAAAAATCTTGGGTTGTTCCTGTGTCCTGGGAGACAAGGCATAGGCAGTAGACAGTCCATGCTGGCCAGGCATCATCTATCTGCAGCTTTGGCTAGCAGGGAGCAAGCCCAAAAAGGGTTTTCCAGCTGAGAGAGAAAAGTGGGATTCCAAAAAATTATGTCAAGTCTTTGGGGACTGTTGGACTGGGATTAAAGCAAAGGAGAAAATTCTGTCTGTTCAGAAAATGAAAAAAAAAAAACCAAACCAAAAAAACCCCAACAAGAACAAACAAACGAATCAAAAAGAAAACCCCAATGAACAACAAACTCTCAAACAAGCCAAACTCAACTAACCAAAAAAGTTCCAGCTTTAACCCATCAAAACTGCTTTATGCAGCTCTGTCACACTGGGAGAGAAAATCTGTTGGGAAGGGAAACCAAATAAAACTTGTGCACCAAAAAAGATCTGAATTTTGGCAAGAGCTGAGCAATACAAATGCTGGCAGATGGGGGGAAATGTCTGACCCGTGCTGGTACCAGTGAGGATCTTGACCCTACTTTCAAGGAAACAGGGACCAGAACTGAGTCACAGGGACAAGAGACAGCAGTGGGGTCAGGAAGGGTCCTGGAAGTGGGGGGGGGCTTGAACAGGACTCTGAACTAGGGGGAGGTGTCTAAGTAAAAAGGATAATCCATATGTACAGGAGTAATCTGCTGTCACTTTCCCAATGATACCTTCTAAAGACAGTAGTTTAAAAAGGAAAAACGAAACCAGCCTTATAGATAAGCAAGAATTTCAGTAATGCACCACTGGTAGTGAACAGCATGCAAATAAACTTTGTCTCAAAGGTTTGTGTTTAGATAGATGAATATTCCAGATGCATATATAGATTTCTTGATTTTGTAGAGGAATATTTGGGTTTGTTCAGTACTTGAAAATTTGGCCTTTGGGGAGAATATGCTTTTATGTGCTGTAACACTGAAATGCTTTGAGCAAAGTTTGAAATGATATTCTACGGCTGTAGAGAACATTGACATCTTTTGGATGACTTATTCAAATATTCTTATGGTTGACGGTGTATTTGTATTTGAATAAATTCAGGAAAGATTCATCCAAAGCTGTTTCAATCCAGTACTGCTTTAAAGAAACAGGAAAATCTAATCATTTCATCACTTAAAGCTGCTTAAACCTTCAGGGGAAAAAGAGTTACTACTTAAATTTCAGATGAAAGGAGTGTTTTGTGAATTCATCTGTGTCATTTATTCATACCTGAATTAAAATGAGCCATGATGTACTGCACTTTCTCAGGAGCATTACATAAACTTCCTTGTTCTAAAACATGCACAAGTTTAAAATGTGCAAACAGAACTGAAAGAAACTATGCAGTAGTTTCTCCACAAGCAGGAAGCCTAATATTTACACAACAATCAATAGAGTAAAGAACACGGAGACAAGCAGCACTCTCTCCTACAAATGTTGGTTTAGCTGCTGAAAGAAGGTAGGATCTATCTGAACAACAACTTGCTTTTAGCTAGATCTGTTCGGTTGGGGATGTGTTTGGCTTGAATTCTGCAGAACCTTGTTGGCCATCGTTTGGAGTTGTGCAATTAAAACAAGGGATTGTTTTTTAGTATGCTATATTTGGAACAGTTTTCTCCTGCTTTAATTTCTGGGATTTTGGTCTGATCTTTCAGTAGTGTTTTGGTGAGACTAATGAAGATTAGTTAAAGAAAAATCTGATCCTGATACAGCTTGCTTTGCAGAAAAAAAGGAGTTTCTTTATGTATGATTAACTTACATATTTCTCTAATTCTTTGCTGTCATGTTTATTTGTTTGTACTGTGTCCCTTTAGGGAAACTTTTGTCCTCACTGTGGGTAGAAAGGTAGAAGTGCAAGAATGCAGTGACTTCAGTGCAAACCAGAAAGGGACAAGAAAGGAGAGGGGATAGTATACTTTTATTTCTTGTTATTCTCTGGTCTACAAGCCTAATATTATTACCTTACAATAAAAGTTGGCAATTTTCAACTCAAGCAGAAGGTTACTGAATCCAGGAACCTGTAAGAGGAAGCTAAACATGTCTTTGTACCTTCTGTTTTCACTATTCTTCCTGAGAGAACTCAGAAAAATATTTTTTTTTCCCTAAGTTCAGTGGATAGGAACAATTGCTAGTCACATGTGCTACCTACAGAGAACACTTTACAGAAAAACCTGCCTGTCCAAAACCCCTAGAAAAAACCTGTCCATTGGAATGAGAGGAGGCAACTGGGGTATTGGGGCTGAGCTAAATTTTTTGGGTTTGAGTGGACATTTTGCTCTCTTACCCTGATGGTGTTTTTCACTGCTGCAGTGGTTGTAGGGACCAGGTATGCAAAAGTGCTGGCTATGGCATCAGCTTTAGAAGTCACATTCTCCTTTCAGAGGCTGGTCAGAGTTTCTGGGAGGTTGCTGAAATCTCTCTGAGGCAAAGGTGAGGATAGGAAAAGATTTTCAACACTTCAGAAGGTACAGCAATAGACCAATGATTAGCTGGAAGGCTTAGCAAATACTTTCATGTACCAACAGTCAGTGAAAATAAGAGGAATTCCCTCAAAATTTTAAGAATCCATTGAAGTGGACAGCATCAGATAATCTTAATTGGGTAATGTCTATCAGTTTTTAATTTGTTGTTTTAAGCTTATATGCACTCAAGTTACTTATAATAGCTGCTCTCAGAAGTGACTTGAAGTTTAAAGCAATAACAGAAATTTAAACTAGGTGAGGAAAACTTCAGCTAATAGAGTGACATAAGTTACTGAGAAATGTGGTCTTGCAATAAAAAGCAATGTGCAAACCTCTTAGTGAAATGTGTTGCCTGTTGTAGTAATACAAACCAGATAGCGAAGTTCAGCTTATACTGTGAAACCAAATTTGGTTTTGTAGGCTTTGTGGTTGAAATCTCTGTTTTATTAGGTAATTTCATTAATTGTTACTGAAGAGAAATGTACCTCAGTCTTCCATATTTCAGAGGGTAGTGTTCCATAAAGAACTTTATATACACCCTTCAGGCATAAATCCAAACCGGTGTCCAGTTCCCTGTTAGAGCAGATTCCTTCCTTGAAGAGGTGGAGACTGGTATGGCAGTGATAAGTGCAGTTAGCCACAAATGATGAAGTATCTCACCAGATCTCACCATGATTTACACAGAGTACTTCCTATATGGTGTTTTCAAAACCCACCTGATGGCCATCGTGGATCTTCATGTCCATGCACAACTTCATTTACTTTGCTTTCTTTTTTAGCACCCAGTTTGTA